TATATACAATATCATCTATGTCAGCAGCGAGGGCATTTTTATGGTTGTCAGGTAGTGAAGTAACCTTTTCTTTCAATACCTGTAACACCTAAGTTTGAAAACAACAAAGCATTATTTCACTAATTCAATTTTTGAAAACATTTCAAAAAGTGATCTTTTATCATGGAATGAATTTTCTAAAGCTATTTTTAAGTTTACTACCATATTTACTCAACCCCAAAAGCAAGGCTGACAGGCATTTCCTCAAAAGCAAGGATGAAATGCATCTAATTACTCAACTAGATAATTCATAACAGAATATTCTATGTAAAAGCAACTGAAAGACATCGTGTTTACTAACTTATGCCTTAAGTAGCAGAAGTCATTCCATGCTCTGATATGACCCAAAGTACCTGTAAGGACAGATACATGAACCCTACTTTGGCTGCTGGCATACACACTATTTTTAAGCATAAATAAGGAGAATGTATATCATTCTAGTGCAAGAGAGTAATACATTTATTTTTAAAGAAAAATTAAAAGTATACTACACCTCTTTGGCCACAAGTTCTTCCAACAGATCAAATTTACACTGTGACAGCAATCTGGATACATGAACAAAAGCCTTGGAAAAAATAGTGGGGGAAGCATGGTGATTATTTCAAAATATCATGCAAAGTACCATACAATGCTCATACTTACATGATAAAATATAACAAAGACTTATTTTATGGTAAAGGTGATAAACAATGTCAAATACTAATATATCAGTATTAAGCACAACTCCTTCAAAGTTGGTCGGCTTTTCTTATATGGCCTTCCCATAATTTAGTAGTGAGTGAGCTGATTGCTAATTATGTATCTACTCTCAGGACCGGGGAAATGACACTGTGTGGTGTATACTCCAGATCTCTTAATAAGAATCCTTTTGTATATTTTCTTTTAAGATAATGAAGAAGTAAACAACTATCTCTCTGATATATGACCCACCTCTTCAGTATGCATAGATAGCAGTTGGAAAGTACTCCAGTCTAGACTGTATTGGGAGTCTGGAGATCTGGGTTGTAGTCTGAACCTCTTTAAGAGACATAAGGTAGGTTTGGGAAAGTGAAAGATAACACGTCTATACAGTCTAAATAGTGGATCCCAACTTTGAAGTATGAGATTCTATTTTAAAGGGGGGAAAACCCAACTGCAATTCTCTCCATTCCCAGCAATGAGAAATGAAACTGTGAATTAAGACCCTTACCTGTCTTCAAGGAGCTCTCCATCTACTGGGGGAGGGAGACAAGTAAACTGACAGGTTCAAGAACTATGACAGGGGTAAGAACAGGGTAATTTGGGAGCAAACATAAGAGTCACTTAACCTAATTTGGGAGGACCATAAAGGGCTTTCTAAAAGAAGTAACATCCAAGCTGAAATCTGAAGAACTGGCAGAAGAAAGGAAATACACAGGCACATTACACAGTGGATACTGCATAATTGTCATGTGCCTCCCTCCCAATTTATATGTTGAAGTCTTAATCCCCAGTACCTTGGAATGTCACTATACATGGAGATAGGGTCTTTAAAGAGGTGACTAAGTTAAAAATGAAGCTGTTAGGATGTGGCCTAAACCAATCTGACTGGTGTCCTTATAAGAGGAGGAAGTGTGGACACATAAACAGACACCATGGGCACACACCCTGAAAAAGACCATGCAAGGACACAGAAGACAGCCATCAGCAAGCCAAGGAGAATGGCCTCAGGAGAAACCAACCCTTTTGATATTTTGATATTGAAATTTCGGTTGTTTAAGCCACTCTGTCTGTGGTACTTAGTTATGGCGGCCCTAGCACTAATACAATAGTTGAAGTCAATTTTGAGACAATGAACATGTTCAAATGGATTCAAGGACTCTTTGCAAACACTTTAGAGGCACTCAAGGTTCAAAGATACTATATGTTTTGGTAAGCCTTCGAGTGCAGAAGATGGGTGATAATTTGGGCAAAAGAAACAAAGATCATAACCATCACATTGAAATTCATCCAAGGAAGATCACACATGTGCAAATTATCCTAAAAGGTAAATTAGGAGGCTGCCCTGATAAGGCCTTGATGACACAGGAGTGTCTAACCTCCAGAAGCTTCTTGAAAATAGCCTTCTTTTTCATAGGAAAGTCTATAATGTACCAGCAAGATATAAGAAAACAAACAGTATATGGTTTGATGGCAATAATAGGGAAGATATGTCACAGGTATTTATCAATGGCAAGCAGGGTCTATGTATCTAAGGCTTGTACAGCATTAGTCCACCTATTCCCCTGGCTCATGTGATGAACAAAAGCTTGCCTAGATTGTATTTAACCATCTCAATTGCCCGTGACTCTGGAGAATCAACACTGCTTGTAGAGTGGGTCACAGGACAGTGAACCTCAGCATTTACTAGCTATGCATCCTTGACCTCATTGTTTCACCTTCCTGGAACTTGGTTTTGTCACTTGTAAAGGAGGATTAGACTAGAAAAGGTGTCATTTCGTTTTCATATTCTGTGACTAAAAAAGAAACCTTAAAGAACATGATCTAATTGATATTCATAACGCTAGATAACATCTTATAGTTGGGTGATTAGACTAAGGAGAAAAGAGAAGAGGAGCCCATTGCATGTAAATAAAGTAGCTGATGTTGTTGCACCAGATTATTCCCAAACCCTAGAATTATACAAACACAAGGGAAGGTACAGTTGCATCATGAGAGTTAGCAGGGAGAGGTTTTTTTGGCCATGTCCTTATACATCTTAGGTGTTGAAGAACTGATTTGCTTGATCTGAACAGTATGTTCAGTAACCACTGGTTTAGGAATTGCTAAATATTTGCCGTAGATGATCCCTGTCATTCTTTTTGGAAGTCAGAATGGTTAACTGCACAAAAATTGAGTAAGAGAAAGGAAAAGTGCATACTGACTAGCTGATGAAGAGATGGAGATACTACCTAACAGCAAGGAGGGAAGCTAAAAACAGCTGGAGGACCACTAAGATCAGCTAGTGACCCAAACAATACTCCAAGCTCCTCTATGTGTTCAGAGGAAACAGAGACTGAGGCCTGATTCCTACCCATGGTGGGGAGATGATTTCCATTTCTTTATGACATATAAATGACCTGATAGTCATATATACATTATGAGGTGGACAAGCTCCTATGTCATCAGCAGGCATTGTGGAGAATAGTAGGGTCACAGCAATTTACCTGTGTGTGGACAAAAGATTTTGAGAATTGACATGAACAGAGGTTTACTCCTTAATTACGATGCTGAGTGCATATTAATCAATTTTACTCTTTGCTTTCTCATAAACACATATAGTAGTCAAGAGCTGATTCAGGGAAGCAGAAGTAAGTAAAGTTAAAAACGTTTAATTTATAACTGATACAAAAGTCACATAAATAAACATAAATGAATGATTATTGAAATAGTCTGAAACAAATTAGGAGTAAAAATACTAATAGTATACAATCGATATTGTAAAACGATTACACTGATGGCGTGATTTTAAGGTGTATGCAGGTATGAACTGAGAAATAGACTATGACTCCTATTGCTTATAAATAGTTCTGCAATGTTTGGAAATGACAAACTTTCTAAGAGAGTCAAAAGAAAGGTATAGATGGCCCTTCATCCTAGAAAAATCCATGTGCACACAAAATTTGCAAATAATCTCAGGACCCAGAGTGACCATTATGTGGCAAGGATAGGGCACGGTATTCTGAGCCATTCAGAAAGAGGGACATAACTGACAAAGTCTGGGCTATGAATCACCAAAGGTTAATTACTCTCAGTGTGCAGGGTGCTATGCACTTAGCGACCAGGTAGTCTCCGCAAATTCTTTGAAAGAGTAAACTTACTCATCTCCAGGTTATTCTTTAAGCAGTATGATGGGGAAAGAGGAGCAACGGAGCTCTGTCACAAAGCTGGCAGGAAGTTCTGCCTTTCTACCCCAAATCACATTATAGTACTTTGGAAATGTTATCTCATTTATTCTTTACAATAATCTTATCCACTCATTAATTCATTCGACAAACACTTATGGAGTGCCTACTATGTACCAGGCATTGTCTTCCCCATTTTGCAGATCTGGAAAATCATGCACAAAAAGGTAAGGTCCTATATCTTTAAAGGGCAGGAATGTGTTTTGAATCAATTTCTGTCTGATTCAAGACCTGTAGAGAGTGAGAAAGGTAATTGAAGGACTTGACCCTGGTCTCTCAATGGAACCTCTCCTCCTCGGCGACCATGCAAAGACACCCCGAAGCTTACTTTAAGAAGTACCCAGAGAGCTGTGTCTGGGCCACTACCCACGTGATAACTTAGGACCCTATAAAGAAACCTCAGCGCTAAACAGTTTTGCATGATGAGAGGCGGACGGCCGTCAACCAGGGAATAAACAAACCTGCTTGGCCCCCTGAGAGAACTCTGCGATGCTGAACTCTCTGTCGAAATAGGCCCAGATAAGGAAGGCGTAAATTCGAGTCCGAACCCAGGTGATGGGGTTGGAGAATCCCAGAATGATCATCTTGGTTTTCTGGCGCTGCTCCTCGGTGCTGTAGTTGCGCCGAGGGCAGGCAGGGAAAGAAGTGAGGGCTGCGGGGAGTCCCAGAGGCCTGACCAGGGACCACCGGGGGCTCCAAGCAGGCAACGCCGAGGCCACCGAGGCCCAAGTGCTCCGAGGACGTGGGGCCGCTCCCGAGCTAAGGCGGCGGCGGCAGAAGTAGCAAAGCCCGGCTAATGGTAGCCTCGCCTCGGCTACATTCACAGTCCGGAGTTGGGTGGCCCCGCGGGGCAGGGCCCGACATAGCAGCAAGCGAGATTGCAGATGAGCGGCCAGCGCCATTTTCGTGACCTTTCACCCCCTCTGCTCGCCTGTGCTGTAGGAAAGGAAGTCGGTGGGAAACCACCGCCGCGGCGTCGGAGGAAGAGCCAATTAGAGAGCAAAGTTGGCCCGTTGCTGCCACCTCTGGTGAGTCCTCCCCAGCCCCGCTCTCCAGCACACAGCGCACGCAGAGGACCTTCGGCTCGCCGCCCCGCGCTTGGAACCAGCCACTGTCTCGGGCCCGTCGGCCCGAGGACCTTTTCTGCCCGGGTCGTGTTTCCGAGCGGATCGCGCGCCGTTGAGCGTGTCGGAGCCGAAGTGCCGAGGCCTTGGAAGAGTACGGGCGTGAGTAACCATGGCCGAGCAGCGCCTGCCGGTACCTCGGCTCGAGGGCGTTTCGCGGGAGCAGTTCGTGCAGTGTCTCTACCCACAGGTGAGGCCCTCGAGCGGGACCCAACCTCAGGAAGCCAGGGCTGGCCCGTGCCTACAGACGGGCGGCTCCGAACTGGTTTCTTACGACCCAGAGTGTAGGGAAGAGGCGGCGGGCAGATGACTGGTTGGCACTTAGGTCAAGGGAGAGGGCACGAGGGGGACATCAACGGGCTCATCTATTAAAACAGCTCCACGTTTCTGGGGGCAGGATGTCCGCGGAGAGCTGAGTGCCGGAGGCAGTTTGCCTAAGTTCTTTACTCTCTGCGGAGAGACTTCTATTAAGACTTCTGCCGTTATTATGGCAACGAAAGCCCGTTTATTCCCCATTCTCCCCACCTCCCCATCTTCGGCCCGGTTTCCGAAAATTTAGTGCAAGATGCGCGGCCCCCCACGTGGTGCGAACGACACCTGACAGTCTACTCCCAGTGAACGGATGTGGAGGCGCAGCTTTTCACTCCACTGAGCCAGCAGGAAAAGCAGTCGGCCTCCTCCGGGAAACTGCCAGTGGTCTTGGATTTTTAACTAACCTGGGTTCTAGTTCATACGTTGGAATCTTTTATACGTGTAGTTCGAACCTTAGTTCTTTAAAACTCACAGGGAAATATTGAGAAAAAGCATTTTTACCTGAAGTGCTTTGCAAAGGTGTCCAGACTTAAGAAAAACAAAAATACTCAGCAGGTATTTACAGGAAAGAATACACGAATTACAGTAAGTCTGTTATGGTGGACCCCTCCACCCCAGCAATTTTCTTACCTGATATGTACGTCCGTAAGAGTGGTCATAGAGCTACAGTTCTGGGTATTACAAATTTTAGGGATGAAATTTTTTCTTTTAGTAGTTAGCAACCTACAGGAGATGATTCAAGCCTTCATTTATGTGAGGGACTAACTAGTTAGTACTTGACGGGTTGTTCTTGCCCTCCCCACCCCCATTCCCCCATCTCTGGGTGTGTTAGTCATAAGATGCCTACAGGGAAGTGTTGTGAAGATTGAATGATGTATGTGGAAGATGCATAGTAAAAGGTGTTTCCTAATCTTCCCAGATAAGACATGTCTTATCAGAAAGCTTCATAAACAGTCACTGAGTTTTATAAACAATCTTCTCTGGTTATGGTGCAATAAAATTAGAAATTAATAACAAAATTGAAAGAAAAAGAAGAAAGACCTTTCTACCTGGAAACACTAAAAAGAAAAGTATGAGGGGATGTAGTCCTATCAGATTTTTAACGTATTCTAATAACTCCATAATTAACACTGTATGGCACATGTGCGTGAATAGATAGACCAGAAGAATAGAAAAGTCCAGAAATACCTCTCTCTCTCTCTCTACACACACACACACACACACACACACACACGGAAATAGATTTCCATTCATGTGAAAATACAGTATATAATGGACATGACGTTTTAAAAATCGCTGGGGCAAAAATTGACTTTTTTCTTTATAGACTATTTTTTAGAGTAGTTTAGGTTCATAGCAAAACTGAGTAAAAGGTATGACAGAGATTTCTCATATACTTCCTTCCCCCACACATGCATAACCTCCCCCATTATAAACATCCCCCACCAGAGTGGTACATTTCTTACAATTGGTGAACCTATGCTGACACATCATTTTAACTCCAAATCTATAGTTTACATTACAGTTCACTCTTGGTAGTGTATTTTCTCTGAGTTTGGACAAATTTATAATGACACACATTCACCAGTATAGTAACATACCAAGTAATTTCACTGCCCAAATGGTGCTGGGACAACTGGGTAGTTATTTAGAAAATGATAAAATTAGATTTATATCTCATACCATACACAAGAGTAAATTCCAGGTGGATCAGAAAAATGTAAAGAAATAAAACTTCACAAGTACTAGAAGAAAATATGGGTAGATTCCTCTGTAATCTAGGTCTGTGGAAGGCTTTTCTACCAATGACACAAAAATCAGGTGTAAGAAAAGAAAAGATTAAAATTTGAGTACATAAGGACAGAAGCAGTATAAGCAAAATTGAAAGACAAATACAAACTGGGAGAAAATATTTGCAATATAGATCTCATATAAAGGGCAGTAAAAGCCGTTGTATGTAAAGAATTTTTAAAGGGGGGATGGGGCAGAAAAACTAATAGGAAAATAAGTAAACAATTGACAAAAACCGATAAAATGGCCTTTAAACTTCAAGAGTACAGGCCAGGAAAAGATGTTCAACTTTACTCATAAGAGGAATTAAAGCTACAGTGAGATACCACTTCTTACTTATCATATTGGCAAAATTAAAAAGCTTTGATAGTCCACTCTTGGTGAGGCTGTGAAGGAACTGTCATTCTCGCACTTTATACCAAGTGGTAGAATTCTTGGCATATCTAACAAAACTGTGTGTGTGTGTTTACTTTATGACCTAGAAATTCCTTGATTAGGAATTCTTTGAAGATATACCTCCAGAAACATGAAAATATTTATACGGTGTTATTGTACTTGCAAATAATTGGAAATAACTTAAATGTCTATACATAGGAGAGTGATAGAATAAATTATTGCCCATTTATACTGTAGTGTACTGAGCTGTGAAAAAGAATGGAGGTATCTCAACTGATAGTAGTGATTTCCAGGATATATTTTAAATTTAAAAACAAGTTATAAAAGAAAATATATAGTAAGCTATTCTTTATATTAAAAAAAAAGTGGGGGGATAAGGAAATATTTATGTTTTTGATCACTTTGCAAAAAAGAAATACAAGAATGATAAGTCAGAAATTAAGGAGATTGGTTATCTGTAGGCACTGAGTAAGTATTGAGGTGAAAGAATTTGGATGGGGTGACCTTTTTGTATAGTTTTGTCTTTGGGGGTCACTTTAATGTTTTATATTTCTAAAGTAATAATAAAATCAACAAGGATGAGGTATAATTAAAAAAATACAAAACCCTAATATAGAATGTAAAAAGTAACAAATGAACCTATCTAAGGGTGAGGGAGAGAAGTAAACCAAGTCACTTTTTTTTTTTAACACAGTACAGTGGGCTCTCCATATCGTCGGGTTCCACATCCAAGGATTTAACCAACCATGGATGGAAGATGTAGTTAGGCCTATGATGGTTGCCTCTGTACTGAACGTGTTTAGACTTTTTTTTCTTGACATTATTCCCTAAACAATAAGGTATAACAACTATTTACATAGCATTTACATTGTATTAGATATTATAAGTAATCTAGAGATGATTTAGAGTATATGGGAGGATGTGCATAGATTATACGCAAATACTACACCATTTTATAAGGATCCTTGGATTTTGATACCGTTTGGGATCCTGGAACCAATCACGTGGCTGTGAGGGATGACTATACTTTGATTAAATGTCTTTAGTATAAAGACAAAAAGAACTGAAAACAAACTGAATTCTAGTTAGTAGACTTGTTTTTTACAGCAGTATGATCTACCAATTGTGAAAGTACTTTCTGTGAATTCTGGAATTTTGCAAGTGATTTAACATTGAGGATCATGGCAACTAGGTTTCTCACTGGTGGGGAAGGGAGTTACAAATATATAAACAATAAGAACTAGACTAGAATGAACCTTGAAACATGTACGGCTTATAAATATGTCCATTAGATATATGTGTGTGTATATATGGCATATATGTGACCATATATGGAAAGAGAGATAAATAGATATAGGTATATACATATTCTTGTATGGGACATGTGTATTTCACATTATTTCCTAGCTCTGTCCACTGAGAAGACAGAAGTAATGATATCCCGTTAAACATTCCCCACTAAAAGGAACCAGAGCTACTTGAAATGAGTGATTGCAGGGCTCTGGCAGAGAAACTAAAAGGATGCTAAATTATGTTATTTTGCCATAAATTAGGGAAGTACTCAGATTAAAAAGTCACAAGAATCAGCTTGAAGGTGCCTTACAGACCAAATCGAGGATAATTTGAGCCTCAAAATTATATCAGTAGATGATTGCCCAGTTAATAAAATAAATAAATGGAGATGTTAGAGCTTATTTTGCTATTGGGATGCTTACTAATAAATGTAGAAGAAATGATGAAATTTTAAAAAGTCATTATTTTTGCACTCATCATAGCAGTTCTTGATTCAGGCAGTAATTACTAGTTGATCAAAGTAAACACCACAAGTTCTAGAGCAAAATATTCAAACATTCCTTCTGTGATTCTTTCTTTCCCCCAAATGCATAACCTGAATCTAACTATGAAGAAATATTAGGTAAACCCAAATTGAAGGGCATTCTATGAAATAACTGGCCTGTACTCTTGAAAAATGTCACAATCATGGAAGACGAAGAAAAGCTGAGGAAGTATTCCAGATTAAAAGAGACGTGACAACTGAATGCAGTCAGTCTGTGACATCACAGATTGAATTCTGGGCCAGAAAAATAAATAACTCTTAAAGGAAATTATTGTGATATTTAGCACAATTTGAATATGGATTGTGGGTTAGATAATCATATTATGTCAGTGCTAAATATAATTTTGATAATTACTTTGTAATTATGTAATAGAATGTCTTTGTTCTCAAGAAATATGCTTAAGTTTGTAGAGATAAAGGAGCGTGATGTCAGCAATTTAATCTTGAAATGGTTCAGAAAAAATTAAATTATGTTAATAAAGTGTGCCTCTATACATACATAATGTGAGTGAGAGCAAATGATAAAGCAAATGGGGCAGAATGTTAAATTAACAATTGGTGGATCAAAAAGAGTATATGGGAATTCTTTGTAATGGTCTTGCAACTTTTTTATAAGTTTGAAATGGTACCGAAATCTTGATTATATACAAAATATATATGAAAAATATTTGACTATAAGGCACAAATTTTAATCATTTATATTTTTGTAATAAATAACACGAAAATACTTTAATCAGATTTCTCTTTATTATATATTGATGATAATACTGCTGTTTTGTTTTGCTTTTTTTTTTTTTTTTTTGTCTTTTTGTCTTTTTCCGTGTCCAGCAACAGATCGCAACCCTCAGTGTTGCGCCCGTACCGGACCGGAGACCGGCAACGGGATCGCAACCCTCGGTGTTGCTCCCGCGCCTCGCTCAGCCAGTGAGCGGGAACCGGTCTGTATGTGGGATCCAAACCCTCGGGCGGGAGCGCCGCCGCGCTTCCCAAGCGGCGCACTATCCAGTGCGCCACCGTGCCGGCCCTTGTTTTGCTTTTTTAATCATAAATTTTTGTTCTGGGTATATTACATGGGTCCTCTTCCTATTTTAGTGATAGTATGGACTGTGAAAAGCTTTGAGTTCGGATATGTTGGGATCATGAATCAAATCTTGTTTTTTTTTGTCCCTCTATTGTCAAATATAGCTACTAATATATTATTGTTTTCATGAATTTTTTTTGTTTTATTTTTGTCCCATTTATAGAGAAAACCTCTTGTTTTGGAAGGAATTGATTTGGGAGCATGTACAAGCAAATGGACAGTGGATTATCTAAGCCAAGCTGGAGGGAAGAAAGAAGTAAAGATTCATGTTGCTCCAGTTGCACAGATGGACTTCATTAGTAAGAATTTTGTATATAGGTATTTTCTTCTGAGGTTTACTCTGGGGATACAAATAACTTTTTAAAAACTTTTAAAATATTTTCGCATTATTATAGAAAGACCATATGGCATTTCATCTTTTGGCTGGTTTGATGTAATCATGGAATAGCTTACTGATTTTTAAAGAGTGGCTTTTAAAAGACAAGATTCTGAGTTTACATAATTATACAAAGACATTTCCAAAGACCATTTTTTAAAATAGGGTGTATACCCAGTACGTTCTGGAGTCATGGAAGGAAAAGAAAATTTTTATAACGAGAGTTAGATTACATCTAAAGTTGGGTATGCTGTGTTCATTCCAATGTTTGATTAATTTATTGATCCTAACACATTAGTAAATGTTATCTATGATTGGGAATTCTAAAAAGCTCATGGTTGGTTTTTTTTTTTTTCTCCTCTCTCCAGAAACAAGTTATGTTTGGTATAATTTTTCGTCATCTTGGGTAACATTAAAGAGTTACACTTTATTTTCTCTCTTGATAAAATAACCTTAAATACCTTTAATTTCTCTCAAGGTTGCCATTTTATGCAGTGGAATTTTTAAAAAGTAAATAAGAGATCGTCAAAAGCTGCTAAATGTTGAAACTTGAAAGCTTTAAATGCTGTCATCTTGCAGGTTTCATGTGCTATGTATTCCCATGAGTTTCATTAAAAATGTTAAATTAAAAAACAAACAACTTTCAAATTGTAAGCATGTTCAGTTCCCAGCAAATTCAATCAATTGAAAAACCATGTCGTTCACAAAGGACTTCAGTTTAGAGATGAGTTAAACAGAGCTTCCCAGGGCCATTCCTTTCTTAGTAGAGTCTTCCAAGCTCATATAGCAGCTGCCAAAGCATTTCTCAGTTTTTGATCCTTTGAATATTTATCATTATAATTTTGGTTTTTAATAGGCCATGAATTGAATTTAATTGCCATAAGTTTTTCCACGTGTATGAACTTTTCATTTTTTATTAAATTAAGTAAATAGAAGAAAGTGCTGGAATGCTGAGTGTTTTTCAGCCTGCAGCTAATGATGTTTATTTCCCAGAGAGTTCAATGCCATAATAAATTGGTGTTGAAACTTCACCTTGAATTGCCTTGACATTTTGTCATGTCTTTAAAACTTTTCAAAACTTGTTTTTGAAGCACATGCATTATGTAATAGTTCCTATCCCAGCTTCCTTTAAGCCTTTCACTAGAGCTACTAAAAAGTTGCAAGATTATTTTTTTTTAGAGTATAAGAAAAAAAAATTGAAAAAAAATTTGGTTTAGTCATTTTCAGCATTTATTAGGCAGTAAGAAAGAAGGGAGGCATTTAAGTCAAAAACAGACAAGAGAGTAAGAAATCCCACACACACATATTTCATTATTATCACTTCAGTCTGAGGGTGCTTTTCTGCTTTATCAAAATATTTGGAAATCGATACATTAACAAGTTCAGTATTAACTTTCTTCTTGGTAGTTCTCACTGTTCCTTCCAGAGTCAAGATACTATGGACAAGAGAACCTGATGTGGTGAAAGGATATTGTTGGTTATGTTAGTCTATTTTCTGTTGCTTATAACAGAAATACCTGAAACTGACATCAGTGCTGCTCACTGAACCCACAGTCCATAACCTGGCTTCAGACTCACTTAGCTTTGCAGAATGATACAAGGCAGGAAATAGCATTCTAGCAGAATACTATTAGTGGGAGTCTTTACATGCTTCCAGGGCCATTTTTGTCTCACCAAGTGACGGCTTAGTTGTAAGGGAATAAGACTATGGAGGTAGTACAGAAAGACCCTAGCTTAGGCGAACCATGTGGTCCACAGAAATCACTAGCTTAAAACTGCCCATGAACTTAGCTTCTAGTTTCCTCCTAGGGATATGCTCAGTTATACTGCAGACAGGAAAGCCATATCCTCTGTTTCCTAACAAGTGTTTATAGTCCATTCACAGATCTTCTAGTGCAGACAAAGCATACCAATTAGGGGTCATTTTTAATAATAAATGGTGTTACCTGATATCACAGCTGACATTCCATCTTTATCTTTACCCGTTATGTTTCTAGGAAAACAGTGCTGGGAGAAAGTAAGCCAGCCCAAAGTCATCTTCTTGTAAATAAGGAGAAAAGTTTTGCTGACCCTTTCTCCCCACCTCCTCAGTACGGATTTCAAGTAGAAAGTAAGACTTGGTAGTAAGACTGAAAAGATTACAACTCTTAATCAGAGGTTTGGAGGTAGGAGTGCGGTGGGGGAACAGAGGAGAGGTTTTAGATCTAGAGGCTTTTGGGGAAGGCATTGTCTTGTTACTAATACAGTATCATCCTTATGTATGTGGCAATACTTTTGATTCTAGAAAGTTGGCAGGACCTGGAAGAGAATCCTCTAGGCTCAAGAGTGGGAAGTAAAGCAAACAAACTGTTTCTACAGCATCCAGCCATGTTCAGGATAGAAGGAGACAGGCATTTGGGCAGAAATTTTGAAGAATGAAACTTAGTCACTTCACTGGAATTCTTGAGCTATTCCTCAAAAGCCTTAAAGTGACAGAGGGTGATACAGGAGGATGACAGCAGTGTTATTGGCTTCTGTGTTCTGCTGTAGTGCCAAAAGGCAGGAAGATGGGGGGAGGAGGAGACAGGGGAGGGGGGATGTATCTTCATTGGACTATTGTCTACTGTCTCTTCCAAAATATCACTAGTAGGGGCAGGCCCATGATTTACTTGAGAGAGTATGGTGCTGATAACAACAAGGCCGCGGGTTCAGGTCCCTACATAGCGATGGCCAGTTAGCTCACTTGGGAGAGCGTGATGCTGACAACACAAAGTCAAGGGTTAAGATCCCCTTACCGGTCATCTTATTAAAAAAAAAACAAAAACAAAATATCACTAGTAGTTTGCCCCATTCATCACAAGATTGGTTTTACCATAACACTTGAAAACAGGTAGCAAGCAGAGTCTAAAGTTTTGTGTATTTTCAAAGGTAATCAGACACCATAGAAACATTTTTCTATCAGTAACTTGGAATAGAAGTGTATTGACAGATGAGAAAGATCCATGTGTACCATAGATTTAAAAATCCAAAATCTCAGACAACTTAGGTCTAATAAACATATCACTAAATGACTTAAAAATTTAGAATTCCATGTAAGAATTTATAATAAAAATTATAGATATTATAAAGCAGAAGATCATACCCAACTCCAACAAGCCTGTATGTATGGTGATTATTACTTGCTGCTTTGTGTTGCTTCGCCTTCCACGGATTTATCACCCCGCTTCCCTTGGGTGATGGAGACGCAAAGGATTACTCAAAGCCCGTCTCTTCTGAGCAGTGAAAAGCCCCAAAGTGGTTTACTTCCCTTGGGAATGTTTCAGCGGGAGGCATTCCTTCCTTGGGAAATTAACCCCGAATTGGGGTTCTCTTTCTGCATTTATTTTCCAGACCAGGAAGTTACAGGAAGAGACATAGCTGGGGTTATAGTTTAACAATATAGGCTGGTAACTTTCAGTGAAACAAGCCAGATGACATTCCAGTAGACAAGTGGTCCTATCAACAAAGGCTTGATCTTAGCAAACATTCCTTCTTACAGCAATTTCTCAGTATCTTTACATAACAATCAGTAACTAGTCTGTCCTTGAGCCAGCAACCTTGCTGTGTTACAAATCTTTATCTTACACCAGAGACTTTATAGCCCGAGGAAAATTTCCAGTCCTCTGCAAGATCAATATTTGAAACTGCAAGGCTTTGGAAAACCAGGCCCTGTGAAGTACATATGCTTTATAGTATATTCCACATTACTAGTTGGTCTGTTATTATTAAGTTCAAGGATTCTTTTATGTTTATTTCAGAACTTTACCTTTTGACAAGTTGGTCCAGAGGGCAGCCGAAGAAAAGCATCAAGAATTCTTTATATCAGAGGTAAATTGCTTTTAAGATTTTTTAAGAAGGCATTAATATCTATATACTAAATGGATTTTCTTATTAAAAAACATTAGATATACTAGAGCTGAAACCTTTTCTGGTAGCCATTCTTAAGCGTTAGTCAGATATACCGTAGACTCTAGCTCTGCTGCTTATTAGCTCTCAAACCTTGGCCAAGTTATTTTTCTGTGCCTCAGTATACTCATCTATAAAACGAAGATAATAACTACCTATTTCATAAGGTTTTTGTAAGGATTAGCTAAATAAAATCTGTAAAGTACTTAGTGTGCTCTGATACGTAGAAAATACTGATTAAATGTTAGCTATTTATATTACTTCTTTTGAAAATGCTGTGGTCTGATATGCCAAATTCAAATGCTAATGGATGATTTTCATATTGTATTGGCTATTAGGCTGTTTACATATTTTATTATTGTAAGTTATTATCAATATGATTTCTGTTGTGTGTATTTGCTATATCATTTGTTCAAGATTAAATGCAGAAGAATTTTACCTGTCTACATTATAGTCCAGCTTTAAATAATTCAATTTAAATACCTTGAGCTCAGGCATTGAGGCATATATATAAATACTTTTTAAAAAATCCACCGTGTTACCTCAAAAGCACATTTAAAAAATATATTGAGCCAGCTGGGTTGGGCATTTTGGTTTTAAAAGGTATTTGTTCTCACAGTTCTCTCATCAGATGATGGTTACTCTAGATTACCACCAAGATCCCTAAAAATTCTGTGGGTCTGTAATATGACTCGAATGTCTTTTAAAACTGATTCCATTATCTGAGAACTGTTTTTTAACTTTATGGCCATGCTCTGAACACATATATTCAGTTGCCTTCTGGTACTTTCTAGTCTAAGGGTAATGAGTGGCACAGATTTTAATAGCTATGAAATGTGAAGTAAAAGAAACACACAGGATAAAGTATTAAAGTCTAAAAATTATGTAAAGTTTGTAAACAAGATGAACATAGACTGTCAGTTCAGTCCTCCATAAAGCAGGTGCTGAGATGGAATTAGGAGTAAAAAAGGTTTATTAGGGAATAATACCTGTGAAAGAAAAGGGGAGGAAGCAGGATTGGGTAGGGGTGGCCATTAGATGGACATACAAATCTGAAATTCTCTGCCGGCTCATTGTGGAACTCCTGAGCAAAAACTTGCCTGTCAGAAGAGTCCTGCATTGGATGGCAATGTCTAGACCTTTTACCATCTTACTCAGTCATTGGTTGGGGCTACCCCAAGATGAGCATGACCTTGGTTCAAATGCTGAGGTGGGGGCCAGCCCGTGGCTCACTCGGGAGAGTGTGGTGCTGATAACACCAAGGCCACAGGTACAGATCCCATATAGGGATGGCTGGTTAGTTGACAACACCAAATCAAGGGGTAAGATCCCCTTACCGGTCATCTTTAAAAAAAAAAAAAAATGCTGAGGTGGACCTGATAAAGTTAACAGCTGGCAGGTCTAAGTTAATCACATTCCTTGCAACTAAGTGATTCCTTTCTTGAAGGGGGATCTAAGCAGTGCATCTCTGTGTCTGCATGTCCGAGTGTGAGCTAACAGTATAATGCCCACCAAACTGAAAGCTATTGTGAGACCAAAGAATAAAGCAGACAACTTCATATAGTTTTCAAGGAGTTTATCATTATAATAATGATAATGTTATTATTATTATAATAATTATTATTATTGATGGGTGGTTACTTAAGGGATCGGGTGGAGTATCAATCTATCCAAGTGCTGTGCAACTGCTATGCACAGAAGTGGACAAAAAGGGAGATATGCCAAAGAGAAAGGCTGCAGAAGTGCAAGATTCCCAGGCTCTCCACAGCCTCCTGTTGCTTATCTTTGGGGTTGCTGGCGTCATTGCCTGGTGTCACTCCCATTATTTTAACATAGCTGTCTGCTCCTGTCCCTTCCTCAGTTGTAAGCAAATTGTGCAGGGGAAAAATTGCAACTATTGAAGCCAAAGTTAGAGCCCCAAAGGCCACAAGGATAAGGGTGAGTTCTAACCAGCATTCCTATACTGCCACATGAATTTATTTTTAAATCCTGAAACATTAGAACTGGTAGAAAACACTTAGAATTTAAGAACATTATTTGTAATCTAATTAGCCAGTAATAAATTTATAGAACCAATCTGATATAGCACAAGCTAAAAATATAAAAACAGGAAACCTGGGGCCGGCCCGGTGGCGCACTGGATAGTGCGCCGCTTGGGAAGCGCGGCGGCGCTCCCGTCCGAGGGTTCGGATCCCACATACAGACCGTCTCCCGCTCACTGGCTGAGCGAGGCGCGGGAGCAACGCCGAGGCTTGCAGTCCCGTTGCCGGTCCCCGGTCCGGTACGGGGACAACACTGAGGGTTGCGATCCGTTGCCGGACACGGAAAAAAGACAAAAGACAAAAAAAAAAAACAAAAAAAAAAACAGGAAACCTGAGAGTTCAGTTAAATTCATAATCATAGATTTATAATATGCTTTTATTATTAAAAGTTATTATTAAAAGTGTAAGGTATTTTATTTATCTTTTGTTCTACATTTGTATTACCTCAAGAAGTTTGTTGTTTGCCTTCAATACTACTTTGAGATCATATGTGCTATGCAAACAGGAATTCTCTTATTAAATAGGAAGACACTGTTAAAACAGTCTAAATAATTTGGAGTATAAAGTCTGAATCAGTATGGCTTTAGATATGGTATTTGTGTGTTGCCTTTAGAATTTATTTTACTGAATGTTTTGTGGATCCAGTCATTATTATGAGCAACATATAAAGACATTTCTTCATATGGCCACCAGAGCGCATTAGTAGAACGGGTAAGATTACTTTTTAGAAAACTACTTAACTGGGTCAGATTTTAAGATTTGCTTCCTTCCTTTTTTAATTCCTAATATTTTTTAAATGAATGGTGATGTTATTTTTCTTTGGGATGTTTAAGGATGAGAAATACTACTTACGGTCACTTGGAGAAGACCCTAGAAAGGTAGGAATTCTGAATTTGAAACAATTGCTTAAAACCTAAATGAATGTATGTATATATGTTAACTGGTTCTGTAATTTTTACACTTGACATTTAAATTTTTGCCTGACATTTAAATTGTTTTATCCTTTTCCATTCTTTTCTCAATGATTTGTGCCCTCGAATAAGAAGTAAGAGTATTAAAAGTTGATTTCTTAGTTTTCAGGTAGGACCATAGAATCTTAGTGTTTAAAGCCATCTAAACACCACACAATAAGAAATTCTTTTATTATATGTTTTATAGCTAATAAGATACTAATCCAAAATAATTATAAAGATACTGAATAATTCATTAGATAGGCTTTGACACGTATTCATAGTCAAATTAATATGGCTACGGAGATAAGGAGTGGTCCCTAAAATGATCAAGTAAAATGATATTTTTACCCTTTATGTCACCGTTTAGTTCTTTACCCTCTCTTTTATTCTCCTCCTTTAATAGAACTAACAGGTTTTACAGAGTTGATGATGTTCAAGGTGTTGACTCCTGAATTGAATAATTCTTAATATTACAGTGGATTACAGTTGTATAATTCTTGCTTAAAGTAGGAGGAACCTTTGTATTAATGAAGCATATGGAGTTTAACAATAGTGTCATTGTTGAATCTGCAATCACATTACACAGCTTTTTATTCCTTCATTTGATAGTATTTTAAAGTAGTGAACAATGTTTTGCCCCATTCCCTCTCAATATCGTGGGGTCTGTTGGCAGCCTTAGATAAATAAGCATTATTTAAATTTAATATTAATATTAAATTAAATTAATATTAAATTAAATTAAGCAGTATGCCAATATTGTATTTATTACTAAAATTCTTTCCTGATATTATTTTTATCTAATATTTTTATGTTTCTGTCAATGCAGGATGTTGCAGATATTAGAAAGCAGTTTCCTTTATTGGAAGGAGATATTAAGTTTCCAAAGTTCTTCAAAGAGGAGCAGTTCTTTTCCAGTGTTTTTCGAATTAGTTCACCAGGATTACAACTTTGGACTCACTATGATGTATGCTATATAAATGAGAAATCTAAGGCTACAGTAAATCTTTAGCATTTACAGATCTAACATTCATGGTTTCAACTTTCTATAGGCTGCTCTAAAGATCTTTGCTGTGTCATTTGCTGAAACGTGAGTTTTGAAAATAGGTGCTATGCCATGTGGTGATATGGGAATGAACTATGTAGATAATGGCAAAGCCTAGTTTAGTTCCTTACATTTGTATTTCTCTGTGGTCTTGTTCTTGATTCATCATCATATATATATTAAGTTTAATGAAGTATTTTTTTGCATTTGAAAAATGGCCACCAGATAAGGGAGAAAATTGTTAACGTGGAAAAAGTGCTAAGCTTGTATGAGGATGTGTAAGTGATACACATGACTCTGGCTATCTAGAAACACATAACTGGCCATCCAGAGTTAAGTTATTCAAGAGAGAGGCAGAAGCTTGTGGAGAGCCATTTCCAGTTGTAAGAATTTGGGGATATCTGAAAGTCATAGGATATATGTCCCTTGAGAATGTCAAATGTCTACTATATTCATAGGGCAGCAAGATGTGTAGAGGATTGATCATGATTATTCTATGATATAATTTTATTTGTTTAAATATATGTACATATATAAGCATTTAAAAAAACATTAAAAATACTAGTATTGTATATGGTTTGGTGTCAGGAGGTAGAGACTTAGGAAGCTAATACAATACCTACTAGGTTTCCAAAGATAAAAAACAATTTTTAAAAGTTCTAAATCAAACTATCATGTTTTATACATGTATTTTATAATTCATTTGAGGAACTCTTGGGAGGATTTTAGTATGGTCAGTAAATCTGTAATTAAAAGAGATAGACATGAAATCTTATCATATTTTTTTAAGGTCTTTCATGAGTGACATGGTGAGAAAATGATGTGGAACTCAAATGTATTTTTAATTATATTCTGACCATACTTAAAATTTTAAGTAGTATCCTTTTTACCTTGAGTAATAATAAAATATAATATATAAAGCTTTTCTTAAAAATAAGACAGAGGAATGCTAGTTATTATTACATAATTACGGTTTCCATAAATAAAGGATTAGTGGTAAAAGGAGAAATGCTTAGGTAGAAGTGATATGTAAATAAACATGAATATCTTGCTTAGTGTATATCTTAATTTGTTGGCTGAGAATTATGTGGCTCTGCCTTTTAACATTTTTGACAGTCTGTACTAAGAAAATGTACCTTTATGCACTCAGGAAAAGTTAAGATTCCTCCATTAATAAGTATTTTAAGAAAATTTGCCAGATTATATTTATATTCCTATAGAAATAATTTGAGAATCAAGATACACATAATCAAATTATGGGTGGACATTTATTATGAGTTTAGCACTGGTTGCAGCATTACCTTGTATTTTCCTAACACCTAATTTTTCTAAGTGCTTTTAATCTGTTGTCTAATGTTGGCCTTGTAGCAGATAAGTAAAATAAATATTAACCAAGGGGACCATTAAATAGGTTTAACTGTATTCACTGACAGTTAGTGGTGGAGTAAGGGCAAATAGTTTCCTGACTCCAGATTTCCTAATTTGCCAATCCTTCCCATATTAAGGCAGTACTGCAGAAAGCTCTTCAATAAAGACACAGTTGTATGTGGAATACAAATCTTTTCATTGTTAGATTAGAATATAAGAGTTTTAGGTAATCTAAATCATCTTATTAAAAGATAGTGTTGACAATTAACTGTTTAGAATGCCATTGGTTCTATTTATTTGAATTTTAGATACTGCTTACTCATAAGTTCTTATTGGTCTTCAGGTAATGGATAATTTCTTAATACAAGTGACAGGAAAAAAGCGTGTTGTATTGTTTAGTCCTCGAGATGCCCAATATTTATATTTATCAGGTATGTTTTTTTTTTTAAGTTTATATTTCTAAAGTTTTTTCAGTTACTCCTTTTGATAAATCTCTAATCTCATAGAACTAAACATTTTAGGACTTAATCCTAATTATGATGTATTTGTATTCCCCATCGTGTATGTGTATGCATGTAATGATAGGCTATATGAAGCATGAGATTTTCGCATTATCTTAGTTATATGAGGTTACTTCAAAAGTTCTTGGAAAAATAGAATATAAAGATAATATGCATCTTTCCATGAAGACCTGTCCTATCACGTGGAATTGATGTCATAATTAAAGCGTGTGTCATTTAAAATTGTCTTAGGTTTCAGAATAGTTATTCTCACAGTATGGGTACAGTAAGTAATTATATAGAAAATAATAAATTTTCAAATTTATATTTGTGATTACTTTTTTTAAAATGCTAACTTTGCTAAACCTGTATTATCCCTGTTTGGAACTTTTCAGGTACTAAATCAGAAGTGTTGAATATAGATAACCCAGACTTGGCTAAATATCCACTCTTTTCCAAGGCTAGAAGGTATGAATGTTCCCTTGGAGCTGGTGATGTATTATTCATTCCCGGTAAGATTTCTAGATCTCAGTATTGTGCTGTTTGTAAAATCTGTAATCTGTCACTCAACTTTTATGTGATTTTTTTTTTTTAGTACAAAAATATATTTGTTATATGTCCTATACAAAATTGTTTTTACGCACAACTCGTATGTGTGTGTGTGTGTGTGTGTGTGTGTGTGATTATACCTGGTTGTTTCTTTTGAAATCATTTCATTTCTAAAATATTTTAGAGCTATGTCTCAAATGTTTACCAAGAAATGGTAAATATTTTTCAAAGTCAAAACAGCTTAAAGATTTTATTGAATATGAAAATGTTACAATCTCAGCACTTGTGATATTTTTCATGTGCATTATTTTTCTACACAGTCTGAATTCATATCACTTAATTTCTTTGTTCAATAAATAGGCATTAGTTTAAAAGTCCATAAAACTTCCATGTTGTTAGTAAACACAGTGATGTATTAATTCTTTAAAGTGAACACCTAAAGATTGTAAAAATCAAAATTAAGATTTAAGGACTGTATTAATAAATTCTTTTTATACACTTTTACTTTCCATATCTCAATTAATATACTATTAATATCTTTTTTCAGTGACAGAATTAAGTAAAAAAAAGTAAAGAAAAATATGGTCTCATTTGGGACTAAATTATAAATTCTTTGAGGACAAGAAACCATGTCTTGTTAATCTATGTATTCCTGAAAGGACCTGATACAATGTCCTTCATATAATCGATCATCTAAAAAAATTTGATATGTTGATTTTTTATTCTTATGTTCATGGAAAACGACTGGCACATTAGCCTTTAAATCCATTGCCATTTTTAAAATTTATATTTAAATTTTTGGTTTTTGTATTTTTGGAGCAAAGTTAAGGGCTATGCAATTTTCACTTATTGTCTATACAATTTTTTTAAAAAAGGAAAAAAAGAGAAATAGTGGACATTTGCATATATTTTGAAACAAAAGCAAAAGCCCCATCTTTAGATATAAATTTAACAGAATGGTTAGCTTTTTCTTCACATTATATTGAACAAGGAAAAAAAAGATTCTGAAAGAAACTGTAGTTGATATTAAAACCATATTTAAAAATCAGTTTTGTGAATCAAAATATTTTAAGATTTTTTCCTCGAGCAATCTTAGAAATGAGTTTATTTGTAAAATTTAAATCTTCCTTTCTCTCTTTCACAGGGCTAAACATTTTTTGGAGGTGATTAGTATTCCATCTTGGTCATATTGTAGTGGTGCTTTAGTATTCCTCTAGCACCTATATTTTGAAAACTAAGAAGTAAACTTTCCAGTGAAAGTAAAGAATTAATTAGGTATATGATGATATAGTTCACTCAACATCTCCACCACCAATACATATGCTGTAGTTTTATATACTTTTTATAAAGGAGCTGAAAGAAATATAAGACAATTATGACTGTATTAGAAATATAAAACTGAAGAGGCTACAATGAGTGCAAATTTGAGTAAGTTTAGAAAACTAAACTGCAGCTTGAACAGGAAGTCTTTGAGAACAAATGTACTGTACTGAATCAGAAAAGGTCAAAGATACTCTTCAAATAATTGAAATGTTCTTTGTACAAAAAAAAAAAACAAAACAAAACACTTTTGATGTGGTTCTGTGACTCAGGAAGTATAAACAAGTAACACAAAACACAGCCCCAAATTAGAGAACTAGAAAACAAATATAACTTTATTATGTCTTTCAAGTTAAAAGGAAAAATTGCTATTTCTAAAGGTTTTTAAAGTAAGGGTTGTGCTATTGACACTTTAAATTGGTTGGCAATTCATAAAAGTTAAAATGATTCTATTAAAAGCTGGGAGTGTGCTAACGAAGGGATCTGGTTACAAGAATTATTTCTTACATTGGCTATATGCAATTCGTGATATTTCACTGACATTTTGGTTTTTTTTTTTTTTTTTAACTGTAGGTTTTATTTTTAACTTGTTTTTTAAAACTTTCTCCAGCTTTATGGTTCCATAATGTAATTTCTGAAGAGTTTGGAGTGGGAGTGAATGTCTTTTGGAAGCACCTTCCATCTGAATGCTATGATAAAACAGATACCTATGGAAACAAAGATCCTATAGCAGCATCAAAAGCTGCACAGATTTTGGACAGAGCCTTAAAAACACTGGCTGAATTACCGGAAGAATACAGGGACTTCTATGCACGGCGAATGGTCCTACACATTCAAGACAAAGCTTTCAGCAAGAACTTTGAGTAAATAATGAAGTGAATGCAGTGATTGTAAACATTTTAATAAAATTTAGCTCAAATATTAGAAAAATATAACAAGATATAAAATTTTAAAGATTCATTCTTTGTTAACATAGGAAACATAAATCAGCCTCAGGTTTACAGATTAAGTATGAAAGGGTGTTTACGTGGTTTCTGCTTAATGCAGATTAAAGAATTCTTTACTGGCACTACTTCTTAAGGTTTCAGATGCAAACAACTAAAAATGCGACTTAAAATGACTTAAGCAATCAGAAAATATATTGAATTGTGATACATGGAGTCTACTGATAGAGAATAGGTTTCAGTGTTTCCAGTCCAGTGATTCAGTAATGTCATCAAGAACCTCCACAGTTTTTCCCCCCTCTCTTTTCAACCACAGTATATTGGCATCATCCCTAAGACTGACTACCCTCGTGGCCATGGGATGATTGCCAGCAGCAGTTGGGGCCTTGAGCGTCTTCATTTACATGCAGCTGAAGAGTCAGGCTGGATTCCAGGGGCCCTGTCTTAATAAGAGAAAGCTTCCCAGAATTCACTACCAAATCCTTGGGTCTCATTGCTTTAAAGTGGCTTAGACCTGTCCAACCCTGAGCTAGTTACTGGTGAAGGGTATGGAATAACCCTTAAGGCCAGTCAGGTCTACTGGTGGTGAGAGTAGAATCCTCTTACTTTGAGGCACATTAGCTATATATATAACTCATGAGGCAGAATGGATACTTTTTAAAATCAGGGTTCTGATAGGAAAGGAAAAAAGATGGACAATTAACAATGTCTGCTACATTTGCCTATAATCAGAATCTTGAGTTGTTTTAAACCTGCAAATGCCTAGGCCCCAACTTTGTAGATTTTGATTTAGTATGTTTGGGATTTGGTACAGTGTTTTGAAGCATAACTGAGAACCCCTGGATATAGTGACTAGGATTATTAGTTTTGTGATTTGCCCAAAACAAATGTTTGATCTGATTCTGGTTTTTCATGCCACCCAGTGTGTCAGGTCTCTTTTTTCAATTTTTAAATGTTAGAAAATAAATGTTTTTATAGCTGTGTCTAAACCTTAACTTAAGTTTTCCCCACTAAATACTTTTTCACCTGTCCCTTTTAAAAAAAAAAATTTTTTTTTAAAGAATGAATAAGAGATCCTAATGTTGTTATTGACAATGAGCCATTGTGTATGGATCTGTGCTGTTCTTTGCTTTGCACCTAGTAATTAGATTGCAGTGTAACTGCATAAAAACCAAATATATTTACTGGATACAAATATGCCCATCTAAAGCAATCTCTGCAACAATTTGGCACATTTTAATTATGGAAAAGATAATTTTCTCTATTGAAGATAATCCATCTACTCATATCCTTTGGAGTTGGATTAGTTTCAGGCATAAAAAGCAAATTACAGTAAATAAGAAAAGTATATAAAAAAAATTCTGAGTTTCCCAGCCATCTTTAAAAAGAGATATTTAAGTTACTCAGGTCAACAAGGTAAAAAAAAGTCTGGCAGAAGAGGAATTGTTTTAATATATCAGCCAGATCTAATTGTCAGATTTTGACCTTTGGTTACTTCTTAGGCTAAGCAAAGAACTTATTTAATGATTCTTTCAGGAAGGAAAAGACAAAACCCCTCTTAGTATTTATAAGTCAGCTTTTAATAAACCTTCCTTGGTTTTTTTCTTTTTTTCTCAACCAGTAAGAGAATCAGGGCACAGTGTAAATCCAGAGTCATGTAGAAAACTTGGAAGTAAAACATTACAATTTGCATACTGAATATTCATTTTAATTGTTTGTTTAGTGAGGAAGCAAACTGGATGACCTTTGGCAAGTTAAATAACCTTTATTAAGGTTATTTTCCTCATCTTTAAAACAACTAATGTATATTTCATGGTGTTGCTACAAAAATGGAAGAAAATAGTTCAAGGGCAGGCACATAGTTGATGGCTGGTGCTAAGAGATTTGATGTAGCTTCTGTTGCAATATTAAATTTTAATATTTAGAAAGGTAGAGATGAACCCTTTTTTACATTACTTCCGTGGTCATAATTTTTAATGTTAGGGAGGGTCTCTTTATTTAAAATACAAAATATTTTAATCTTCTTTGCCTACTGGGTTATTTAAGACCAAATGAGATGTTTCTTTTTAATATATAAAATACAGTATATGCTAGGCTGCAATTTCTCAGGAATTCCACCTCTTAGAATTTTATTGCTGAAAGGGATCTTAGAAACTATCAGTCAACCCAGATTGTTTAAATGATTGTACAAGTTCAAACAGCTGTGGGTAATAGAAGCTGGGGTTGTGACGACAATTATTAATTCTCCATTCTCTCTCCGTTATGTATTGCACATTTCAAATACTTCAGAATAGATTACATTGCTTTTCTTTGGCTACAGTCTGGGGGCCTCACGTGATGCACAAAGGAATGTTTTTTCTCCAACAACAAAACTCCTCACTGCACTGCTTGCTATAGACAAGGATTCAAAGTGAAACTAATGATGAACAGTAGACAAGAGAATGTAATACAAAAATGGAACACTACATAAAGAATAAGGCAAAGGTATATGTATTGGCATGGAATTTTTCCAATGTATTTACGTGAAAAAAGGTTTTGAAACTATACTGCCATTTTTGTAAAACAAGGTATGCTATATGTAAACATTTATTTGCATATGCATAGAATTATCTCTGCAAAGATGCACAAGAAACCAGTGATAGCGATTGCCTCTGAGAAGAGATTGAACAACTAGATGGGCAGACTAGAATCTGCAGTTTTGTATTATTTGAATTTTTGTTCACATTATTCTTTCGATATAACATTTAAAAAATATGTGTAGAATGTAATTTGCTTTTCGTGAACATAAAAGCTAATAATTACACTCTACACATAATATTCCAGTGTACTGGAATTCTATTTAGTAATTTCAAACTTCTCACTTTCATGAAATGTCCAAAATAAGGGGAACAAAGTCAACAGGCTTAATTTGTATCCTTCATCCTTTTGAGCAGCAGCTATGTGAACATTTGGAAAGAACCTTAGTAATGAGGCTTTTCTCTCACCTATAAAAAGTTGCCAACAGACACTTAAGCTGAATCTACGGAGATAACTGTCCCCCTCCCCCCCAAAATGCAAGAAGGTGAAAGGCAAGTCTGGATGGAATTGGAACTGTGCTCCTGTGACTTTTTCCCCCAGTGCTAAAAAAAATGGATATAGTCAGGAGGAATCAACGTAGATTGGCAGTCACCCACACATCTCTGGTGTTACCTTAGTCTTATTTCAAGCATATAAGCCAAGTGTTTGGGTGTCTTAAATATCCCCAAGTAGTCTCTCTGTTTTTAAGTTTCATTAGATGGGATACTAAAATGACCATCCTAAGTGACTTTGCCTACCACTGTTATCCTTGCTGCTTTTGTAAAGAGGAATATGAATTTACAGATGAGATCTACTGACATTCTCTAATGTATGACTCTTTTAAAGGCTCTTAAATGAAATAGAATAGCTCTTTTATGAATACTATTATTTGTTTCATATTTTGCCTTTTAAGTTTTAGCCTATTATAAATTTCCCTACTAACATGCTGGGACTTTGTTTTGTCTGTGCTATATACTCATTGCCCAGAATCTCCTTGCCCTTGGTGGGTGCTTGGATATTATTACATGAATAAAATGAAAAATAGATCACACCACAGTCTAACCAAGTCTCTCTCTCTTTTTTTTTTTTGTCTTTTTCTGTGTCCGGCAACGGATCGCAACCCTCAGTGTTGCCCCCGTACTGGACCGGGGACCGGCAATGGAATCGCAACCCTCGGTGTTGCTCCTGCGCCTCGCTCAGCCAGTGAGCGGGAACCGGTCCGTATGTGGGATCCGAACCCTCGGGCGGGAGCACCGCCGCGCTTCCCAAGCGGCGCACTATCCAGTGCGCCACCGGGCCGGCCCTAACCAAGTCTCTTAATAAGCTACAGGAATACAGATACCTGAGATGATTAGCACAGAAAAGGAAGAATTATTTGTTAGAAATTTTGTTCTCTAGGAAATCCAACAGAAGAAATGGATATAATGCAGTTTTTTATGGAACAATTTAAAAGGGAGAAAAAATGTATTTTTACAGAAAAGTTTCAAAAAGTTGCTCATTTGAAAAAACATGGACGTTAATAAAAACATACACAAACCCTTTAAACAGGCAAGGTGGAGAGAAATAGCTTCCTTTCAAATAACAGTCTGAAGTTTTAACAATGCTAATAATATAAAGCACATCCAAACAAACTTCTGTGGGTTATTAATTTTAATACAATTATACATTCATGCTTTGGTTTAACATTATTTGTTGGACAACTTTAACATTATTTGTTGGACTACTTTTCTCAATTGACTCTTTCATGACAAAGGCACAATCCAAAAGGTTACACTAACATTTACAATAACAGTATTAAACAAATGTGGAGAAAGGACCAATTTGAAATATTAAACAGAAAATATTTGAATATGGATCAACATGAATATATTTTCATTCCAAAAAATATTTTTACTTTTCAGCATTCTCATTTTGATGTTCTAGGTGCCCGCTGAGTTATTCTTAATATTCATTCAACATATAACAATTATAATTAAGCATTCACATAGCTGAAGAACCCAGATTTTTAAAGACCAAAGGTTTTTTAAATGAGTTTTTCTGCTGAAAGTCTTTTTCCATTTCAGTTAATACTATGAAAATAAATGTCTTTCCTTCCCCCCTCCTTAGAGCATTCAGTAACGGCTATTTTACATTAGCTGTTTGTGAATTTAACCAAGGATTATTAAACAAATTTTAAAAAGCCACCCAATCATAGAGCTTAAAGGCAAGGTAATATGTAAAATGTAAGAATCAGGCTGACTTACTTCCCTGATGGGAATTTTTGGTCTCAAAAGAAACAGTAGGTATTTAGAGAAACTGAAGCAATATAAAACTACTTTGTCTTTTAGAAAAAGAAAGAGAAAAAAGAACCATTTAGAGATATTGTTCTGTAGTTCATATAATTAAATGTTAAAACACCAAAAAGGGATTTTTATTTTTAAGCATTTGAAGTAAGAATCCTTTTTCATGAGTCTATATTTGGAATGTACTTATAGTCATTAAAATTTAATCCTGGGAAGAAACCAAAAAAATCAACATTTGTATTCTATATTTTATAAATTTAGGTCTTCTGGGTCACTAAATAGTTTTGGGGCTTTTTTGGCAGCTGGCCTATACAGGGATCGAATCCTGGACCTTGGTGTTATCAGCATCATGCTCTAACCACCTGAGCTAAGTGACCAGCCCCTTCTGGGTCATTAAGATATTAAGCTTCAGTGTCATTTTTTTCAGTCCTAAAGCTGCATGTTACTTCCCTGCTTAGTTAATTCATAACCTGCAAAAGCTAATTATTAATAAACAACAAAAAAGTGCTCACCTTTTATTGTAATCACACAGCTATGTTTCGATGTTGGTTGACGTTCATTAGATCTTGATTTCTCAAAATGTATCTATCTAGGTCAAAAAAAACGGGCAGAAGGAAACTTCACCCAAATTATGTAGCAGTGTTAAGCAAATTCAGTTTCTGAGCCAAAATTAAATCATTTGTATCTTCAAACTTTCCCTTGTAACTTTTCTTATAGCAATATAATTTTGCATTTTGGCCAAAGAGAGCTATTTTCTTTTGGCAGACAAAATCATACTTCTGGAGACACATTGATTTAGATCTGTAGAATCTGTCTCCTTTTCAATAGAGCACTAACAAGTAGAGCATTATATATTTATTTTACCTAAGCTGATCTCTTTCAAAAGACTGATTATAATGAAAAATTTGAAATCTGCTCTAGTGTATTTTATCCAATATACGTAATTATGCTCCATTTCCCAAAACAACTGATTTTTGGCCAAGATTCGAGAAACCACAAAATGTCTTATCTGAAATAATCAATTAAAAACTGTCAATTAAAAATTAAGCCACAGAGCTTAAGTGTAATATGTTTTTCAAAACCAAATCTTACACTATCGCATGTTCTTGTCATTTGGAAACAGTTTGACTCTCAAGAAAAAAAAATGGTGGCACATTAAAGAATGAGTTTCTAAAACACAAGAGGCAGGATACAGTTATTCCAATATGATGGAAAACATCAGTGTTCCTCTACTTTGAAGACAAATGAAGTGTTTCCATTCAAGTTTTGAGTGCCAAACTAGCTAATTACTGTTAAAATGTCACCAAAATTAATTTAAAACATTAGTCAGAAAACCAACTATTTCCAACAAGAACAACTGTAGTTACCTTTTATAAGCATTACATCATAACTTACTTTAATTCTTAAGGGTCTTATATCTACTCATAGGATTATCACAACCCATATTTTTAGATTTCAGATTAACTAATTCTAACCCAATCCAAATTAAAAACTGTTCACATTCACAAGCAAGGAATACTATTGCACATTACACTCATATTTTAGGAATGTGTGCTTCCCCCCACCAACCCCCAAAATGACAATGCATCTGAGTTACATCTCATTATCTGAATTTATAACAAAGTGCTTATGCTCTTCCACTGAACAAGTACGTTATATTCTTGTAGTCTCAAAATACTTCATGAACCCTGAAGTGATTCTCTATGGAAGGAGGTTCCTTTGTAAAATGAATTTGGCTAGTCACCTGCATACCAAAATCCCCAAGTATCTGAACAAATTTCTTGTGCTCCTTTCCAATCCAAGATCTCATTGGATCACGTACTTGGTAAGGTGTCACATGGGTTTGAACGGTAATTCCTGTTTGTGCAAATTCTTTTAAGACTTCTGGATAAGTAACCCAAGTATTGCTTCCTCCAGAGTGACCACCATCCAGCCAGTACATCGTTCTTATGCTTTTGATAAAAGTATCTATGTTCTTGTCTTTCTTGGCTTCTTTCAATTCAAAAAGCAACTGATTCAAAACAACACAACCTTTACTGAATCCAATCAAAGTAAAAGATGCACCATTTAGTGATGGTGGATAAAAACTCATGACAGACTCATCAAATTTTTCACAGTTCCTCTCTTTTTCTCCCTGGCAACCATTCGTAGTAGGAGAAGAACTAGATCTACAATTAGATGCTTTGGAGTCCTTATTCCAAACATTCACATTCTTCTTTGATAGCAAACTGTTTTGACTTAAGTTAAAAGCATTAACTAATAATGTATAAAGGTGCTTAAAAGCTCCAAAGTCAGTACTGTGTTCTGGGGCACCAAACATGTTGCACTTCACAAAATTGTCATAGCAGCTAAATTTGTGCAAATGCATTCGGGAACACTTTATCACCCAAATATAACTATTTGGGAACCGGTGGGCTAAAGTGGTGGCAACATTTTCTAGACTCCAGTTTTCCCACTGATAATTCTCAGGATGACGAGTCATAATTTCATGGTAATTCTGAAAGGTAAAAAAGATGAAATAAGCATTAAATACACATTTACATAAAACTATTTCCACAAAAGTTTCCATTTTTATTGTGTAGGAAGTTAGGATGTTGCAATGCCCTATTGTTAATGTACTAGGAATAAAAACTATAAATCTGTCATCACTTTCTGGTTATAATATTTTGAACAAATCACTTCTTCAGTTTAAGCCTCAAATCCATCAAGGGCCAGGGCAATAAGATATACCTACATAGGATAATAATAATTTAAAAAACAAAACAATTTAGAAGTATTATAGATATGTTTAATAAATTTTGTTTTGTATACATATGATTGAGTCTCCTAACACATCAACTAAAAATATAAATTTGGTTCATTAGACATACTTTTTTGAAACAGTTTCCCTAATAAGCTGCCATCCTACATGCCTCTTTAGATTCATCTAGCAACCTGAACATTGTTTGATTTTAATTTTGGTATTGACACCAAAGCTGCAATGAACACTACAGAAAATCTTTGTACACATCTGTGATGATACATACTTAAAAATAAATTCCTAGATATAGAAAAACTAAGTCAAAGAATATTCATAATTTAAGGTTGGTAATATACACTACAATATTGATTCCAGATAGGTATGTACAATTTTTCTTGGTTACATTTCATTGGCACAGGATAACTCATTCAAATTTGGATTTATCAAAAATTAAATGAAGTTGAAATTTTGTTCATACATTTATTAGCCATCTAGATTCCTACTCTTGCCTACTCATATCCTTTGTCCTTTTATATTTGGATCTTATTTATTTATAAGCATTCTATATATATTAACAACTTTTTGTTTGGGTCCTAGGACATACATACAAATTTTGCTTTTCTTTCAATTTTTATTCATAGTGGCTTTGATTTTTTTAAAAAGGGAGCAATTCATTCAAATTCACTCATTTATCCTATAAATTTTACCAGATTATCTACTGATTGGGCAGGGAACAGAACATATGGATACCCCTGCCTATGTGGAGCTCACATTCTATTGCAGAGATACATAATAAACAACTCCACAAGTAAATAGAGCAACATTGTCTAACAGAGATATAACATGAGCCATACAAAATTTTTAGTAGCCATATTAAAAAGTTAAGCCATATTAAAAGCCATTAAAGGGCCGGCCCGGTGGCACACTGGATAAGTGCACCGCTTGGGAAGCGCGGCGGCGCTCCCGCCCGAGGGTTCGGATCCCACATACAGACCGGTTCCCGCTCACTGGCTGAGCGAGGCGCGGGAGCAGCACCGAGGGTTGCGATCCCGTTGCCGGTCCCCGGTCCGGTGCGGGGGCAACACTGAGGGTTGCGATCCGTTGCCAGACACGGAAAAAGACAAAAGACAAAAAAAAAAAAAAGCCATTAAAAAGTTAATAGGAAAAATTAATTTTAATAATGTATTTTATTGAGCCCAATATATCCAAAATATTATCATTTCAACACATAACCAATATAAAAAATTACTAGGAGATTATTACATTCTTCTTACTAAATCTTTGAAATCCAGTGTGTATTTTACACTTACAGCACCTCTCAATTTAGATGCTAAATTTTCATCGGAAATATTTGATCTGAATTGCGATGTTATAAAACTTACAGTTGAAAAAGTAGATTCACATACCCAAGTTGTTCCAAATATAATTAAAAGTTTTCCAGGAACTGAATTGAGTACCAGTTTTTAAATTAAAATTAAAATTAAATACAATCAAAAATTTAAGTTCCTCGATTAGACTAACAATGTTTCAAGTGGCCAATAGCCACATGTGGCTAGAGGCTACCATACTGGACAGCACAAAAAGTATTAGATGGTGGTAAGTGCAATGGAATATAACATAAAGCCAGGGAAAAGGAATATAAGGTTTTGGAGAGGGTAATAAAATTATTATTTAACACAGAATGGTCAGGAAAGGATTCTCCAATCAAGAGGTAATTAAAAAGGACCTGAACGAACTAAGGGAGTGAGCCATGTGACCATTTCAGGCAGAATGAACTGCAACTGCAAAACACCTTGAGGTAGAAGCATGCTGCACATAACCAAGATACAGCAATGAGGCCAGTGTGGCTCAAGTGGAGTGAACAGGAACAAAAGTGAACACAAAGAAGGGCAGAGATTGTTGGAGAGAAGAGCTGATCAGGCTTTGTAAGACACTGTTAGGACTGGCTTTTGCTCTGAAAAAGTTTGGAGCAGAGGACTGATATAATCTACGTTTTGAAAGGATTACTCTGGCTCCTGTTTGCAAAGTGGCAACAGGTGAAACAGGGAGACTTGTAAGAGGCTACTAAAATATAATCCCAATGAGAGAAGAAGGTGGCTTGAACCAGAGTGGTAGAAGAAGTAGAGGTGCTAAAAACTGGTCAAGATTCTGAATATATTTTGGAGATACAATCAACAGGATTTGCTGATGAATTGGACATAGAGTTTGAGGGAAAGAGAAACAGCTACTGTTACTGGTTTTCCTTATTTCTAACAGTAATATACAAAATATATCAACTATAAATACACCTCTCTTTTGACCTTTTGATTTTAATTCTAGAAATTTATCTCACTGATATAGTTGTATACAGTCAGCCCTCTGTATCTGTGGACTCTGCATCTGTGGATTCAACCAACCTCAGATTGAAAATATTTGAAAAAGAAAACTGCATCTGTACTGAACATGTACAGACTTTTTCTTGTCATTATCCCTAAACAACACAGTATAACAACTACTTACATAGCATGTACATTGTGCTAGGTATTATATGTAATCTAGAGAGGACTTAAGTATATGAAAGGATGTGCATAGGTTATATACAAACCCTACACCATTTTACATCAGGGACTTGAGTATCTGTAGATTTTGGTATGTGTGGGAAGTCCTGGAGACCAATCCCCCATGGATGCTGAGCGATGACTGTAAATGCACAAATATGTATACGAATATTTATTTATGTTTCAGAAGAATGAGGCAGCTCTATGAGTACTCATATGAGTTGTAAAATAAGGGCTATGCATTTGTGTGTTTTTTAAAAATTTTTTTACATAAACATAGAATGTATCTGGAAGAATATTAGGGTACTTCAGAAAGTTCACGGAAAGATTCAAGTTATCTCTCAATTTTATTTTTCCATGATATATATATGAGTACCCTCATATATATCGGTAACAGGGGTAGGCTTGGGGAAGGGAAATGAAGAGACTGGAAGGAATGGGGTGAAAGAAAGACTTACTTTTCAATGTGTAACTTTAAATAATCTAAATTTTTAGCAATATGCACATTTTTTCTATTTAAAAATTAAAAAGTAATAAAAGTAATATTATAAAAATTTAGTCTATATACAAAGGTATAAGAAAAAGACCATAGTAAGCTACCAATTAGAAATAATTATTATTAAAATTTTGGTGTCTAGCAGTCCAGGTTTCTTTAGTATACATACACATAGACAAGTATGTATATAAGAAAGCATTCTTTACTTCTCCTCCAGCAAACCACAATAAGCTTATACATTGCTTTCACTTAAAAATATATTACAGGCATGATTCCACTTTAATACAGACTTGCATCATAATTTTTACACATCAGTAAGATCAATACCAATTTACTCTTCTACTGGAAGTAAACGAGACTGCTTGTTTTCCCAGTCCTTACTCATCCTTAATGCTAATGGCTATTAGCATTAATTTTTAAATATTTTCTACTATGATAAAATGATGTCTTACTTTTGATTTAATTTGCATGTTTTGATTCCTAATCAGGTTGAACATTTTTCTATGTTTAATGGCAATTATCACTTTTTTCTTTTGTTAATTTTCTCTTCATGTTCTTTGATAATTTTCCCACTATGATGCTCAACTCCTTCATAACAGCATATTTCATTAGTATTAGTATTTTGCCTTATATGTTAAAAAAATGTATTCCCAGAAGGCCATCATTTGACTTTTTATGGATTCTGCTATTGCTTCTGCACGTCCACGTTTATGATATATACGATTATCATTACATCATAGGAGCTTAGATCCAGAAGGAATCAGCTACCTCTTTTTATAGTTAAGGTACCTGAGGGTCCTAGAAACTATATAGTTATTCGAATTATAAAGTTATTTAGTCAATGAGCAAAAAAGAACCCAGATTTTAAGATTTTCACTTTAGTCTCTACCACATAGAAGATAATCTCAATCTAAAAACTTCCTATTTTCCTTAATTAGCCCCAGGTTACTTAATCAGAGGGGGAAAAATGCTTATGCTAAGGAACTGTGTATATCAAAATGTAAAAACGGTATTGTTACTGTTGTGTCAAAGCCCAGATCTGAGAACAATGGGTAAGTACTTCCATATTCTAAAAAGAGGCACCAGACATCCCCATGGGACTTGCTAATAGGCAGACAAAACTAGTTCTGCAACCTAGGCTATTACCCATGGCCAATCCACAGGAAAGGTTAAAGACTAAGGGAAGATAGGGCTTTCTTTGGGGAATTTTCATCCTAGTTGGCAATGCAATGCACTTACTATCGTTGTAGGAGGTAAGTGTTGAAGGTCATGCTTCTTCTCATGCCTAGAAAAGCAGGTGGCAAGAGAATCTCCTGGAGAGATTAAGGAGCACTTACCACTCCACAGTTAGATGCTTGGTGACCTGCAAAACTTTGTAAGCCCACATCGCACTGCTATTGAAATAAGGTGTAAAGGGTTTTTAAGAAAACTTGACATATATCTCTAAGAGTTTAAAAACACTCATAGTAAAGTTTTAAGCTAGGTGGTCTACCCTTAGAGCAGAGTGAGAGCTATATTGGGTATGAGCTGTACTTCTGCTATGGTTTAAAAGTATCCCGCAAAGTTTATGTGTCACAGTGTTGACAGGTGGGACCTTTAAGAGGTGATTAAGTCATTAGGGCTCTGCCCTCATGATGATTTAATGACCTTATTGCAGGAGTAGGCTTCCTGATAAAAGGATGAGTTTGGTCTTGGTGTCTCTCTGTCTCTCTCTCTCTCTCTCTCTCGCATGTGTACTCTCTCTCATGTGTTCTCTCTCTCTCTCCCGTGTTCTCTCTCTCTCATGTGTTCTCTCTCTCTCTCTCTCTCTCGCATGTGGCCTCACTTGCCCTTTCATCTTCCGCCATGGGATGATGCAGCAAAAAGCCCTTGCCAGATGATGGCCCCTCTATCTTGGTCTTCCCAGCCTCCAAAATCATAAGCCAAAACAATTTCTGTTCATTATGAATTAGCCAGTCTCAGGTATTCTGTTATAGCAACACAAAATGGACTAAGACAACTTCCATCAAAAATAAGGCAAGGATGGGCCGGCCCGGTGGCGCACTGCTACAGTGCGCTGCTTGGGAGCGCGGTGGCGCTCCTGCCGAGGGTTCGGATCCCACACACAGACCGGTTCCTGCTCACTGGCTGGGCGAGGTGTGGGGGCAACGCCGAGGGTTGCGATCCCGTTGCCGGTCCCGGTCAGGTACGGGCGCGACACTGAGGGTTGTGATCCGTTGCCGGACACGAAAAAAGACAAAAAGGAAAAAAAAAAAAAGGCAAGGAGACATTTTTGGCCAAGCATGAAGTACACATCCAAGTAAGCAGGCTAGAATGATCAGAATAGGATCCAGCCTAAAAAGGCTGCCTGATAAGCAGAGGAAGTCCCAGGATACATGGCCAGGACATAACAATTAGGAAATGGTCATCTATATATCCTAGCCTTTAGAAAGCAAAATATCTTAAAATTCACCTTTTAAATTGTAAATGACCCAAATGTTTATGAACTGCTAAATAGATAAACAAATTATATACACATACCTTGAACACTACTTGGTAATAAAAAGGAACAAACTACTGATATAACAATAAGGATGAATTTCAAAAGCACTTGTTAAGTGAAAGAAGGCAGACACAAAAGACTACATACTACACGATTTCAAATTAATGAAATTCTAGAAAAGGCAAAACTATAGTGAAAGAAAGCAGATCAGCAGTTGTCTGGGGCTAGGAAAAGAGAACTGACTGTAAAGGGGCATGGGGTAATTTTTAGGGTGACAGAGATGCTCTACAACATGATTGTGGTGGTCACATAATTCAACACTTGTCAAAATTCATTAGACTGTACTAAAACTTAAAAAAAGGAATAAATATATTCTATATCCTAAGGCTTTAAAAAGTAAGATAATTTAAAATTGGAAAGCACCTGCTTAAAAAAAAATCCTGATCTCCCTCCAAAACCATTACTGATAAAGACATAAAGAGACAGCTAAAGAAAAATGAATTATGATAGCCTCAGTTTTCCTGTAATTCGAATGATGAAGGATATGTACACGATAAAAAAGGACATACAACAAAAGATGACTGCAAAAGGAACATCAAGAAGGTAATGGTAATTAGGAGGATTTAAGATTATATGGACAGCCAGTTCCAATTGATACCAAATATTGAATCAGTGTCAAAATGAAGCAAAGCTTCTAATGGTATCTTACAAAGTTCTTTCTGTTTGGCTCTATTCTGTTCAATATTTATTCAAATTAAGAATAAATAAAGCTATAAAAAGAGTGCTTATTTAATCTGTATGTGATACAAACCTATATAAGCATTCTAAAAGGAACAGTACACTAAAAAGATAGGCTGTATATAACAGGAAAAAATTCATAAGGATAAACATTAGGCTCAAAAGAATCAACTGTAAAAATATAGATGAGGAAATCTCACATAATAGTATTTTATGTAATAACAGCCAACACCTATCAAGCACATCATGCATTGTTCAAAGCAACTTACATGTATTCATTTATGCAACAAGTTATCTACTGAACACCTAATACATGCCAGTCACTAAGCATCAGATATATCAGTGAACAAACAGACATGAGCTTACATTTTAGTGGTAGAAGACAGACAAAACCCAAAATGAAAAGGAATATAGTAAGTGAAATGTATAAAAATAAAGAAGTTGAGAGGAAGCCTGTGTATACATATGATTATTAAAAATGGTCAGAAAAAGCATCACTGAAAGGGGGACTCTTGAGCAGACTTCAAAGAAGTCAGGTAATAAACCTACAGATATCTACAGGAAGTCTGTTCCAGGCAGTATGCACAATATTTCTGAGGTGAACTGTGACATGTTTTGAACACAAAGAAGGTCAGTGAGGCTGGAGCTGAATAAAACAGAAAAAAGAGCCAAAGTCAGAGAGGTAACAGTGTGGGAAAAGGCAAGAGATAGCAAAAAGTCTTGCAGGCCATTGAGAGGACTCTGGCTCTCACTGAGTGACATGGGAAGCCATTTGAGAGTTTTGAGCAGAGGTGTGGCATGATCTGACTTACATTTTTAAAAAGGGGTATTCTGATCACTTTAGATACATTGAGAAAATGAAGCCACTGGTTTTGATGATGGATTAGATACGAGATGTGAAAGAGAGGTCTAAAGGATGACTTCAAGATTTTTAACTTGAGCAACTGAAAAGGTTTCCATTAACTGATATAAGGAAGACCATATAGAGGTAAAGATCTAAGGATTTTAGGTTTGATACTACTTAATATCCAAAAGGAAATAATCATGCATACATTTGGTAAATTTAAAATTCAGGGAATATGTCTAGGCTAGATACACAAATGTCAGGGGTTGTCATGGTACACGTAGTATATAAAGCCAGTAGACAAAGATCACTAAGAGTGAAGGTAGATAGAGGAAAAGCCCAAGAACAGAGTGCTAGGGTACTCCAGTAATTTTAAAAGTCACCAGAAAGGTGAGAAGGGATGGGAACTCATTGAGTATTCACATATTTAATCTCCATGGATACCATACAAAATATTTTTCCCATTTTATAGTTGAGGTAGCTGCAATACAGAGATTTAACAACTGGGCAGAGATTTCAGAGCTAGAAAGTGCAGAATGAGGGTTCAAATCTAGGCAACCTGGGCTCAAAAGTCTTCTGATGCATTTCCTTCTTTTTCTTCTCTAAAAAAACCTAGGATTTTTAGAGCACTGCATACTCTGCATAAATTAACAGTATATCATTGTCCAAAAAGCTAATGGAATCTCAGGCTACATAAAGAAATGGATCATTTCAAAACAAAAGGAGATAACTCAAACGTATGTAAAACTTTTTAGACCTCATCTGAGACTTATACTACATTCTGGCTGGCAGACTTTGAAAGCATTTGATAGGTGCTCTATAAATGTTTATTTATCATTACTATCATCATGTAATTAATCCACAAATCTGTAGAAGTCATTGTCACAAACGCCACCTGTTGTTTTCCCAATCTTAGCACAAGCGTACCAATTGAGTAAATTAAGTTTCATCTGTTAAATCTACTAGCTTTTTTTTCCCATAGTTTTTATTAGCAGTAAATTAGATATATCTTTATCATTATTTGACAAGGCACAATGTTTAAGTGTATTATTTTAAAGCATTCATTTCAAAAACAATAAACTAATATTGTTTCATGGTATAAGAAACACACCTAGCTATATTTTAGCTTTACCTATCTACACTAGTGCTAATAGAACTTTCAGTGAAGATGGAAATGTTCTAGGGAAATTTTTTTTATCTGCGCACAAGCCATTTGTAGCTACTGTGCACTTGAAATGCAACTAGTATGACTGAGAAACCGGATGTTTAATTTTATTTAATTTTAATTAATTTAGACAGTTATTTATGGCTAATGGCTACCCTATTAGATAATGCAGTTTTAGATTAAGATCAAGCTTCCAGGACGACATAAGCACCGATATTTGCCTGCAGCTATAAAATTAATACGGTCAAAGTCACACACAAAAGCAAAAGTATAGAATCTACGTGAGCATCAACATATTGACATGCTTAGCAATTACTGTCCCTTTTCTTCCGCCCTCCCCCCAACCTTTTTTTAGGATTACTGAGTCATACCTTTGTAATGGTTTTTGTGTTTGCTTGTTGTTTAATTTCTGCCAGCGTTTTCTGAGCCCTACGTGATAAGTTAATTTAAAAACCATCTCTCGGTCCTCTGCCCAACACACACACACAGTCCTCTAAGAAACCAAGTTATAGAATGCATATACATTACGTGTCTCATTCCCTATATGTTTCAAATTCCATCCCCCCCAACTCTGCACTGACAACTGGCTCTTTCGACATCATAACCTTCCAACGACACCTTCCTCTTGGGGCTCTAGGGGGAAGGAAGCTGGGGTGTGGAAGGGCCGGTGTTGGATTTCTTGGCGTAACGGAAGTGCCACTCCCGTGAGTGCATTTGTGGGTGTGTTCAGGCGAGGCAAGGAACCCGGCAACACCCACGAGGGAAGAATCTGGTGAATGCGTGTATACACAGGAGGGGACAGGTGCCCAGGCAGGCTCCGGGTTACCTGCACATCCCCGGGGAAATAGAGGACGTGATGCTGTGGCGGCGATGGCGGCTCCTCCTTCGCCCGGTCCCCAGGGAGATCCCGCCGCTCCTGTCCCTCCCCCGCCGCCGCCAGCAGGAGTAACTCGTTGCTGCGCTGAGGATCGGCTCCCGGCACAGCAGACAGCTGCAGGCACTGCTGGCGGCGCCCCTCGGCCGACGGGGAACATCGCGCACCGCCGCTGCCGCCCGGGTTCATGGTTCCGGCCTGAGAGCGCGATGAGGCGTCTCTGATTCCGAGCTGCGGCAGCAGGAGCAGCAGCGCCGGCGACCGCAGGAGCCTGAACCCCCACATGGATCGCCGCCACAAGAGCGGTTCAGAGGTGGAGGCTGGGGCCTGAGGGAGGGACTTCTGCAGGCCGCCCCAACGGTCGGCAGGAGCCGCCGGGGCGGGAGCCGGCGCGGGGGCGACGACGGCGTCAGAGGCCGACGTCCGCGCGCAGCGTGCGTGAGAAAAGGAGGGGTGTGCGCGAAATCGGGCTCGGGATCCCGGCGCGGGCCATGGGGGCGTGGCACGAGGAAGGACGTTTGTGATTGGTGGGTTGTGCTGCGGCCGGGAAGTTCGAAAGGAAATCTGGGGAAGAGCCGGATGAGAGCACAGGCTCAGGAAAGAACCCAATACTATCCGCAGGGGGCGGGGGGGCGCGGCAGTTTTGGCGCATGCGCAGCGGAGGCAGCGGCCGAAGGTCTCTGGATAATAATACGGCGTAGAGATTTTAGTATAATTCCTCCCCGTTCCGGTAGGTTCACCTCCCAGGTGAGGTTTATCTAGTCTTCCTAAGTAGAAGTGGAGTAATTATTTTCTGTGGAGCAATCCGTAGGAAGTCTTCTACCTGCCCTAGATGAAGGGAAACATTTCTCATACCTCGAGTTTCTTGAGTAAAATTAGATATACGAAGATTTCTAGGATTACGGGAAATTCGTGCTTATATATTAAGTCTAATGGAACTCCGCTTGGCAGTGGGGAGCAGAGCACGTGGACTAGGACAGGACAAATGGGGGCGAGGCATTACTTGTTAACACATTGGGCTGTGGCTGGTGTTCCCAGCCAATGAGGTTTTCTATTTTAGGGTTTTCAGAAACCAGTTTGAACAGTGTTGTAAGTCTTAGGTGTCCAACAACTATCTTGTGGCCAGTTGTATAGGGATAAGATTTGGCAAAATATATGCTAAAGACAGGAAAGAGGGGTAGGGGTGAGGGCAGGATCCAGTATTCCAAATTCAAGTGCTTGTGAAGCAAGGCACTGTAAAGAACCTTCTGAGAAAGAATATTAGTGAGAATTATTACAGGGCCGGCTGTGGCGCACTAGGGAGAGTGCAGCGCTTGGGGCACAGCACTCCTGCCGCAGGTTCGGATCCTATATAGGGATGGCTGGTGCGCTCACTGGCTGAGCGCGGTGCGGACGACACCAAGCCAAGGGTTGCGATCCCCTTACCGGTCACACACACACACACACACACACACACACACACACACACACACACAAAGAATTACAAAAATTACAGCCAACGTTTATTGACAGCTTACTATAGGCCAGGTCTCTAACTAAGCACTTTATATATAATTGTTCTGAGTCTACGTATGTGTGTATTTAAGCACATGTACTAGTTTCTTTGCTCCACATATCAAAATGTTAACAAATAGCTTGGAATAAGACCACAAATTAACAAGTTATAAAATATAATTTTTTATATATATACTTAGTGACTTCATAGAGGTGTAATATGCTAACCTACTCGGGTCTAAATTATTGAATTCTATCTGACATCATGAAAGTGTAACCAACCAATCAAAAATTGTTTAATTACTACGTAGATCTGCTGCTATGTAATAGTAACTGGTTAAAAAGAAGTAGAAGTAAATTTTACAATAATGAGTATATAACCACATTTAAGCAACCAGCCTTCACTCTGTTTTACAAATTGCATACATGTTACTTGCCCTCACTAGGTGGAGGATTGCTGAAATGTAATCTAAAAGTCCAAACATGTACATGTATCGCAAATGCACCTTTTGACTTTTGTGGTCTTGTTTTTAGGTTGATCTTGTAATGAAATCTATCCCTATTGAAGGGGATGGAGAATTCTTATATTTTAAAAAGAAAATTAATTGTAGCAAATATTAAGTAATACTAAGTTGTCTCAGTATAACTAAGATAGTTGAGGTCTTTGAGAAATAAAAGTAAACATTTAAAGAGCAGAGTAAAGAAACAGACTGCAGTAAGCACAGAATTTTTCCCACAGTCAAGGATTTGTACAATCCTACAGGAGATACTGCCAGAGAAAGTAACAGCTCTCAATTCATTAATTGAGGTATGTATGTCATTTATGGTAAGTCACTGACACTGCATTTCTTCCCACAGGTCCCCTGGATATTACTGTAATACCTATTTTCTCTCTCCACCTCCTCTGTCTTCTTTCAGGAGACCAATTTTGTAAGTTATGGTTTTTCTAACAAACAGGGACACAGATAATTCAGTATTTCCCCCTTTTTATTCTTTCTCAGAGCTGGGCTTTCCATTCCAGCAAGAGGTCTTACATATCTAAAGTTCCTGTAACCAGTTGTGTGAGTTTTCCCCTCTTTTCTAACTGATAGGGACCTCCACAGTGATTTTATTATGTTTATAGTGCCCCAAAGGCTACGGCTCATCTCTGGACTCTTGACAATTCTCAAGGGATCCTGTTGGGCTCTCAGAACTTTTATTATGCTACTCAATATTGTAGATAGAAAAAACTAGAAAATTGGAAGGAATCTGAAAAAGTCTAATTTACTTTGGAAGGGCGACATTAAAAGACATAAACTCCCATATCTACAGAGGCCAGTTCTGTATCACAAGTAGTAAAATTGGCCATATATAGAACAATAGGGAGTGGTAAAGATTGTGGCAAACTAGAAGGACATGTTATACTTGAAGGAGAGAGTCACTATTCACTACCAGTTGTAAATAAAGGCAACATTTTGCCATACCTCTAAATTTTTCAAGAGAAATCAGATACACAGATTTGTATGTGCCCTTTGCCAACTTATAAATGTTGGAACTAATTGTTTATAAAACATTGTATCAAATTAAATGCATGCATAGGCCAGATTTGGCTTACAGTCCACAAATGTGCAACTTCTTTACTAAAAAGTAAAATGAATGAATACAGGAAGGCAGGGGATAGGGAAAAAAAAAAAACAGGACAAATGTCTTTAAATGTGGCTTCTTGTGAGAGACTGAGAGGGAAAAGAATGGGGGAAAAAGTCTTAAAGTTCTACTGTGGTATTTGAATTGGATCCCATTTGGTGTTCTTTAAGAGATTCCAACAAATGTTTTAATTTTTTTCAATTATTCTTGATTTTTTTGTGTGTGTGTGACCGGTAAGGGGATCACAACCCTTGGCTTGGTGTCTCCCGCACCGCACTCAACCAGTGAGCACACCAGCCATCCCTATATAGTATCCGAACCTGCGGCCTTGGCGCTCCCAGCGCCGCACTCTCCCGAGTGAGCCACAGGGTTGGCCCCAGTTATTCTTGATTTTAATCAGGTGTCTTTTGTGTTGTAATAAGCCTCTGTGGCAAAACTGGACCTTGGGAGGAACAGGCTGTATATGAGGTATGCCACTCTAGCGTATAATTTTGCCTTCAAAATGTCTGATTAAGCAAAATTAAAGAATAAAGCCATTTGGGGATTTGAAAGTTTATGTTTTGGATAGTTTCACTAGCTAGGTGATATGCTTTACACTGCTCCTGTAGTATATGATTTAAACACATGCTTCAGCAAAATACAAATCAGTACATGTCAAGGTCTTATATGAATAGATCATCTTTAGCATTCAGTGAATCCTCAAATCCAATGATTAGCTACCAGTGTTTGCATATATTGTACTTTACCCACTGTTAAAAAGTAGGAAATATTGAATTGATTAAAAACAATAAATCCTCAACAAAATACTAGCAAGCTAAATCCAGCAACATATAAAAAAATTATACACCATGACAAAGTGGGATTTATCCCAGGAATGCAAGGTTTTGTTTTACATCTGAAAATCAATTAACATTATACACCATATCAACAGAATAAAAAACAAAAGTGACTTGATCATCTTAACAGATGCAGAACAAGCATTTGACAAAAATCCAACATCTTTTCATGATAAAAACACTCAACAAACTAGGAATAAAAGGAACTTCATCAACCTAATAATAGGGCATTATGAAAAACCCACAACTAACATCATACTTAATGGTGAAAGACTGAAAATTTTCCCCCTAAGAACAGGAACAAGATAAAGATATCTACTCTTGCCACTTCTAATTGACATTGTAGTGGAGGTTCTAGCCAGGGCAATTAGTCAAGAAAAAGAAATAAAAGATATCCAGAGTGAAAAGGAAGAAGTAAAGCCACACAGGTGACACGATCTTGTATATAGAAAATCCTAAGGAGTCCACTAAAAAAACTATTAGAAATAATAAATGAGTTCAGCAAGGTTGCAAGATACAAAATTAATATGCAGAAATCAATTGTATTTCTACACACTAGCAATGAATAACCCAAAAATAAATTTAAAAAACAATTCCATCTACAATAGCACCAAAAAAATACTTAGGGACAAATTTAATGAAAGGAATGCAGAACTTATATACAAAAGCTACAAAACATTGTTTAAAGAAATTAAAGAAGACCTAAATGGAATGACATCCCATGTTTATGGATCAGAAGACTTAATGCTCTTAAGATGGCAATTCTCTCTAAATTGAGCTACATATTCAACACAATTAGTATCAAAATCTCAGCTGCCTTTTTTTGCAAAAATGTACAAGCTGATTCTAAGATGCATTTAGAAATACAAGAGACTCTGAATATCCAAAATGATCTTGGAAAAGATGATCAAAGTTGGAGGACTCATATTGTCCCATTTCAAAACTTATTACCAAAGCTGTGATAATCAAGACAGTGTGTACTGGCATACGGATAGACATAGAGAACAATGAAATAGGATTGAGGGTCCTGAAATAAACTTTAAATTTATGGTCAATTGATTTTCAATGGAAATACCAAGGTAATTGTCTTATTTTGTTTTCTGCTTCTATAACAGAATACCACAGACTGGGTAATTTATAAAGAACAGAAGTTTATTTAGCTCACAGTTTTGGAGACTGGGAAGTCCAAGAACATGGCACTGTCTTCTGGTGAGGGTTATCCCACGGTGGAAGATGGAAGGAAGAAGTGTGCACATGAGACACAGGAAATCGGGCTCATCCTTTTTATCAGGAACCCACTTCCACCATAATGGTATTGGATCCCTTCATGAG